TATATATATATATATTTCTACACGGGGGTTGGACATTTCCGTTCGGACAACCATCTAATATTAGAATCCTCGTACTCGTGCGTATTACAGAAAGAGATGAATAAAGAAAAAAAAAGAAAAAAGACAAAGTAAAAGAAAGAAAAAAGAAGAAATAAAGAAGATTACGGTTACGGGGTTCGCAGGAAATAAATCCGTCGTAAATGCCATAAACTTGTCAGTCCTTTGTCTGGTAGCACCGCTAATGGCAGAATCGCACGTTCCTTACTTCAAATCGTTTCGGATCTTTCCTATTGGCTCATCCAAAGCCACAAGGGACGTGTTAGCTCAGAAGTTTCTTTTATAGAAAGGGAATCTCCAACGTGAAAAAGAGAAAGAGATAGTTTGACACGTATCCAACGTTCTTTTGCGGATCTCTCGCAAGATTCACGAACGCATTTGGAACCGCATTTCATTTTTTTTGGAGGGGGGGGGTCATTTCCTTTACACCACCGAGAGCTTGCGGTTTTTCTTACAACTCTTACATTAATGAACAAAAAGAAGAAAAAAGAAAAAAAAATAGCAACCATAATCCTCTTTTTCCCCCATTAGTTTCGTCACGAAAACGAGGACGTAGAAAGTTGATTTTTATATTCAATTTATTCTTTTACAATAAATCCCACCCCCACCATCGATTTATTTTCATAAATTCATCACATATATATGATAAACATTTAATGGTTACATTATAATAATAAAAATTTTTGTAATTACAATAATTTCATAAATCATTAATGAAACAACCGAATTCATCTGTTTTTCTCAAATATTTCGTATTTAATGTCGAATAAAAAGAAATAAAATAATAATGAAAAAAAGGTAAAGGGTTTGATTAAAAATTATGTTACTATTATTATTATATTATTATTATTATTATTATTATTATTATTATTATAAATATTAATAATAATTTACTAAATTATTAATGAAACATTCGAATTATTTGTTTTTCTCAAATGTTTCGTATTTAATGTCGAATAAAAAAGAAATTAAATCATGAAAAAAAAGGGTGAAAGGGATCGATTAAAAGTTAATCGATTGAGTTGTAATGTAGAGATATTTCGAATGCCTCTTTGACGGTCCTCGTATTCAGCAATGCGATCGCAATTCGATCTATGCAGTGATCCGTTCGCACGCGACCGTCAAACCAACAACACGCATGCCGAAAACTAATTTCGATTTATTCGATCGAAGGACATTGCCAAAAATCGATTCTAATCGAAGTTTCTTAAGTAGCACAACAATATAGGTGGGGAAGAACGGGAGTTACAAAAAAAAAAGAAGAAAACTTTCTATTCAATTAATTTTTCTATCTACCCTTTCAATTTGGTAATCTGCATTATAATTAACAACGATGATGATGATAATAATATTTTATTTAGAATTATAAATTAAATTAACAAGGACAATTGTGATGATATTTCAAATTCGTATGCGTCGCTTATGGTCTTTTGTTCATTAAATGAATTTAATTTCATTATCCTTTAATCCATTTTATTCCATAATCCATTATAATGGAAATAATAATTCATGGAAATTAATAAGATTTTTTTATTTTCTTTTTCTAAATCAATAATTTGTCATAATTTAATTTATTCTCAATATATATTTGATTACTTGATAATAATATAAATTGAAGAATTTAAATTTGTTTATTTGAAATTTTGTTGAAAATGATAGAAGAAAATAGGACGATTACGAGGTAAATGATTAATGATCGTTTGAAGGTGGGATTACGATAGCCACCGAGAAAATAATATAAAACGTAAAAAAAAGAAAACAAAAATAGAAAGAGACAGAGAGAGAGAGAGAGAGAGAGAGAGAGTTAAGAACACGCAAAAGATCGACAGGAGTGCCTTTACCTCGAGGTCAAGAAAGGTTTTATTATTGTGTGTCCGAGGTATAAGCCAAAGGTAGCAAGTGTGTCTGTTCGTAGGTATAGTAACTGCATGCTAACAATATGCTGCAGTATGTACTCGTTTCGAGTGATTCGTATTTTATACTGCAGCTGCAATAAGTATCTACCATATTGAGAAAGTATGTCGATGAATCGTCATTAATCGTAGATATTTGATTTTTTTTCTTTCTTTTTTATTTTATTTTCTTTCCTCTTCATATTCTCTTTAGATATACCTAAATTTAGATATTTCTAATCCCAGATAAAATATTACCTTCCTTTATAAACGACCATTTGATTTTTTTTTTTTAAGTATTAAAACATTTCTATGATGTAACAATTTACATTGAATTATTATAAATACGTTTACAATTAAAATTAGAATTTATATTGAAATAAAAAAGAAAAAAAATATATATATATATATTTCAGATTTTATTCTAACCGTAATATACCTTTTTCTTTCCCACCCCCCCCCCACCCCTAAACATTATTTGTCTTATTATTTATTTAATATTTAAATTATTGGTATAATAATATTTTCTATTAATCATATTATTATTATTATTATTATTATTATTATTATTATTATCATTTGTTTGCGATTTTAATTTGAACGAATATTAAATTTATGGAATAAAAAGTAAAAATTATTACAGATTTATTGTACAAATCTTATTATTATTATTATTATTATTATTATTATTGTTATTATTATTATTATTATTATATTATGTAATAAATTTCTTACGAATGAAGTTTTCAATACGAGGAAATAATGATTTTTAAAAGCAAATAGTTCTTTTCTTTTCTTTTTTTTTTTTTAAACTAATCGAAATCTAATCAACGTGACAGCTGTCGGATTGACTTTTAGATGAGAAACATAGGGAAAAAACATAGATGAAGCTGAGACAGTGTTGGTAGTGTTAAGATGCGTGTGGTCTTGTCGCTTAAAGAAACTTAAAGAGAAACTAACGTTCGGATTCTCTGTGAATCATGATTTCCGAGTTCACTCTCTGCGCATGATATTATTTATTACCATGATAATCGTTCTCTCTCATACGAACGTACAAAACACTTATTTCTTCTTGTACTATCAGTTTGAAAAAAAAAAACTGGAAAAAAAGTGTTTAAACAAATCTTCAAAAGAAAACAAACTAATCTTTCAAATGATATCACTACTTTTCTTTTTTATTTTTCTCTTCCACTCGTGAACTACTTTCTTTTGTAAAACAATAAAAAAAAAGAAAATAATATCATACTTTTAATAATAAAATTATATGAATTATCGTACAAGGATAAAATATAAATTGTGTGTGGGTGTGTACTTTTTTTATCATCAAAAAAAGTCTCTCTAATATAACAAAACGTGAATGAAAATAACGAACCAATATTAACCCTTTGCACAACGAATTATATTTCAATGTTGTTATCACCAATTTTCAACATTTTTAAATATTTTATTCGAAGTTTATTTTAACTCAAAAAATAAAGAAATTTAATTAGTTTGATAAGAGTAAAAAAAGAAAAGATGTCAAGTAATACTTGACGTAGAAATGCAAAGGGTTAAAATTCATTTTCGTTTGATTACGTGATAATTGACGATAAAACGATAAATAATAATATTAAATAAGCTTTTTTTCTTTGTTTTTTTTTTTATATTTTAATATTCGAATGAATGTGAATATTATTATTGTCGAATAAAAAAATGATGATGATACGTGATTTTATTTTGTTCTTTAAAGCATCAAGAATGCGAATGTGAACGTCATACGTGTGGTGAAAGATGTGAAAAGTGTTGTCCAATGTATAATCAAATACCATGGAGACCTGGTACCGTGTCCAAGGGTTTCCATTGTGAGAAATGCAATTGCAATGGACATGCAACGTCGTGCATTTACGATCCGGAAGTTGCCGATAAAAGGATGTCTATGGACAGTCGGGGGAAGTTCCGTGGGGGCGGTGTTTGTTTCAATTGTACTGTAAGTTCTACTCTAACATTACTCCCATTTTTTTCCTTTCGTTTTCTTTTTTTTCCAATGTTCATTTTTTATGTGTACTCAAAAACAAAAGAACCAAAGAAAACATTTAACGAAACCAACAATAAATTCAAAACATTTTCTATTTAAATCACAGAGACATTATCGTACTTGCGTGTTTCATAAAAATTATTTCATTATCGTTTAAACAAAAAAGAAACATTAGTGTTACAAATATTATAATGAAAATAAATATTAACCTACAAATGTAATCATAAATTGCAAAAATTAAATCAAAAATAATATTCTCATAAAACTGAAACATAAATCACAATAATAAAATGTGTATAATCATCAAATATCCTTTATTAAAAATAACCCCCTGCCCCAAAAAAAAGGAACAAAATAATTAAACATCCTGATCAATAATTTAACGATCATAAAATAGTACGACGGAGAGTGTACTGAGAAGAATCGTTAAAAGATTTTTTATTAATCTTTATTGTATTTGATTGCATGGAGAGAGAGATGAGAGAAACACAGCTGCGATTCATCGAAATACAAAAAAATAAAATTAAACAAATAAAAGAGCTTATTTTCTGATAAAACACGAGAACGCTTCGTCTCTTTCAAAACATACGCACACACACACTACATTAGCATGTGTACTCCCTGTCATTCATTTCGACTTGTATAATAAAAGATAATCCTATCATTGAATGGGAGTTCGAGTTCGCCATTTTCTGATCGTAAAACAATGAAGTATGTGTGAACTCGTCTTATGCATTATATAAAAAAAATAGAAAGTAATAATAATTTATTTTTTATTTTTTTTAAGGAACATACATCGGGTATCAATTGCGAGAAATGTCAGATTGGTTATTATAGACCAAACGGAGTATCACCTGACTCACCTGAGCCCTGTTTACCTTGTGATTGTAGCATTCACGGTAGCACAGGTTACTGTACACCTGACGATTCCTACACACACTTGGGAAAGGTAATTCTTGTCTTTCTTATATATATTAATTCATATAATTATAAATACGGTTCAATAAATCCGTAACAAATATTATTATTTTTTCAATCAAATTAATAATCTGTAGATTAATTTTATCAGATTGATCTAATCAAATAGTTTATAATATCAATTGATTTGACATAAGTAATAGACATTTATTAAGGTGAAACAAAAGTTCGTGCGTTTATAGTGTTGCTTCAGATAGGGCACCAATTGCTTTTTTTGAAGTCAATAAAATTACTTTTTACATATGCAAGTGAAATATTAATTTTTGAAAAACGTACGAACTTTTTATTCATCCGAATGTATAAGTGAATAGTATATAACACCTATGATGTTCCAGGTAGCAGGTGCCTGCGAGTGCAAACCTGGCTATTCGGGATACAAATGCGATCAATGTGCAGCAGGTTATCGACAATATCCATATTGCATGGAATGTCCTTGCGATTCACGTGGTATATTACCGTCTCACGATTGCGAGGGTGATTGCATTTGCAAGGCAAACGTTGACGGTGAATTTTGTGACAGATGCAAACCCGGATATTTCGCTATGACTAAGGATAATCTTGACGGTTGCGTATCTTGTTACTGTTCTGGTGCTACTGATCGTTGTACTTCTAGCAAACTCTATTACACTATGGTAAAATCATTTTATTCCGTTTATTTATTTTTTGTTCTTTCTTTCTTTTTCACTTTAGAAAACATTATATTTATAAATTAATACAAATATATTAAAATTAAACATATCGAAAATATAAATGTATAATCCTACACGTTAACTTTGTTGTTGTATTGTTTCACATTTGATGAAATGTTAAATTGTTTTGTAGATTTCATCGTTGGAAAATTGGTTGGTAACTGATATGAATGCATCGTTGGGTGTTATACCAACATTCGACACGGACAATGGTTGCTTGACCGTGGCAGCATACGAGGTCGAGTATGAAAGTCCATACTGGTTGGCACCACGAATCTATACGGGAAATCGTATCTCGTCTTACGGAAGTAATCTCACGTATACGGTCACCTGGGTTGTCATGCGTGGCGATACTAGTGGCAAGCCTACAACCGAACCTAACGTTATTTTGGTCGTATGTATATAATCCATCTTTACTTTTTTCTTAGAATTCTCTTAGAATTGTAATATACGTGATTTTAGTTTTTTTTTTTTGAAAGTGTTAATTGAAAGTGTAAGCAATTAATGTGGTGCCTTGTGACTATGAGATAGAATTTTTTTACTTTGGTACTTTATCCGTTTTGTTTATATTTTAATTCTATTTTTTTCTATCTCATTTTAGGGTAACAATGGCATGCGTATAGCTTACGGCGAAGAACAGTATAACGGTCAGGAGGCGGAGATATCCGTAACCTTGACCGAGGAAGGTTGGTACCACGTGCGTACTGAAATCCGAGACATTCCGACGAGACACAAGAGAACTGAATTTCGCGGTGATCCTGTCAATAGAAAACAAATGATGAACGTTTTGGCTGATCTTAAATATCTCATGATAAGAGCACAATATCATTCCGAACAAATTGAAGGAAGGTAGGATAGTTCATTTTTATGCCTACTGATTGTTTTAATATCGATTATTATTTCTTGATCATTCGTCGTTTATAGTCTTATGTCAGCAATTCTTCCGATTGGTGAACCAACACTATCGGAAGATGGTACCGAAAGTCTCGTTGAAATGTGCGATTGTCCTGAAGGATATACCGGTTTATCATGCGAAAATTGTTCCTGGGGATACGTTAAAGTAACTAGCAATGGTTCAGATCATCGGGATTATCATATTTGTGTTGAATGCGATTGCAATGGTCATGCTGCTTCTTGCGATCTTGTGATGGGTGAATGCAAGGTAAGCTATTGTCGATAAGGTAGGAAATTAAAATCGTTTGTTTATCTTTAATCGATAATGTTTAATATTTTAAATCTGTATTCATTGATATCGATAGTTGTTGAATTATTTTTTGAGCAACAAATGCATTTAAATACTTTCTATTGTTATAATAATCTCAATTTTTTGATTTTACAAAGAATATATTATTAAAATTTTGTAATTTTGTATTGTAATTAAAATTTAAGGTTAGAACTGTTGAATATACCTTCTGGTGGTATATACATAATTCTACATTATCGATAATGATAAATGTTTAATAATTTTTAACAACAATAAAAATATCTTACATCAAATTATTTAGAAACTATAATAATATATTAAATCTTTAAATTAATATCGTAAACAAATATATAAAAAATTACTTATAATTTTGATTACAGAATTGTGAACATCATACAATCGGTCCAAAATGTGATCGTTGCACAACAGGATATTACGGGATCGCAACTAAAGGGACACCGGAGGATTGTAAAAAGTGTGCTTGCCCATTATCCATCGAATCAAATAATTTCAGTCCGAGTTGTCAATTGGAGGATCCTACGGACGATAACAGTGGTTATGTTTGTACTCAGTGTCCCGAAGGATACACAGGAGATCATTGCGAAAGGTAAACAAATGGATAGAGAAAAATAATAATTAATAATTATCACAAAAAAACCAATAAAAATCATACTTTCCAATTAAACATCCAGTTGCGACGTTGGTTTTTATGGGAACCCGTCAACCCCTGGTGGAACATGCGAGCGTTGTCCTTGCTCGGGTGGACCGTGCGATCAAGAAACAGGACGTTGCTTGGAATGTCGTGGTAATACAGAAGGTTGGAAATGTGAAAGGTGTAAGGAAGCTCATTATGGGGATCCCCTTCGTCAAAATTGTCTTCGTGAGTAACAACCCAAAAAAATAAATTACTTTATCACGAATGTATCGAAACAAGAAATGTAGGATGAATTTATACGTATGCTTAACTTTTAAGAAACAATCCCAAAAAGACTATAATAAACGTTAAGCATGTTTTGTGTTCGCAGCATGCGATTGTGACCCCATTGGCAGTAGTTCCGTTCATTGCGATCGGATGAGCGGTCAGTGTCCCTGCAAGCCTTTGTTCTCGGGTCGTGACTGTTCCTTCTGTGTTGAGGGTTACGGAAACGTTAGTGCAGGTTGCCAAGTATGTGACTGCGACGTGGGTGCCCTCAACGAACTTTGCAATCCCGTAACCGGTGAATGCAGGTGTACGGAGGGTGTTGTTGGTTCCCATTGCGATAGATGCGACATCGATCATTATGGTTTATCGACGAATGGTTGCCAAGGTAAGTGATGAAACTTCATTCAAATAATTAAAAACTGATCATAATAATATCTTCATTTCGTGTCAAGTGTTAAATCATTGAAACATAAAATATTATGAAATTGGTTGATTAGTAAAATAAAACGGATAAAAAAAGGGATGATTATTTACGAATCACGAAGATGATAATAAATATAATATAATAAATAAAAAAATTAAAAAACAAAGTATTATTTATGCGATATTATTAGCACGAGCTGTTAGTAGATCTCGATAAATGAGAGAGAGAGCTAACAATAAATTAAAGATTTTAAAAGCTCACGAGTTACGCTTACAAGAAATAACACGAGCGTATATAACGGTCGTAATTCCTGAACAAAATAACGGTGCGTTGAAAAGGGCTGTAAAATGAAAGAAAATTAAAATGAAAAAAAAAATAAGAAGAAGAAGGTAAATAAGAATAAGAAGATTCGAAACACGAACCCGAGTGAGACGGAGAGAGAGAAGAAGACTGAGTAAGTTTAAAAGCCCGAAGGTAGAGGTTACATTTTCGATAAATTAAATAAACAGGACCCCGTAGTGCCGTCATATTTGCAATTCTAAAAGAACGCCTTTGGAAAATTGCTTTTGCTCGCCGAACTCGTTTCGCATTGCATCTTCTTCTTCTTCTTTCTTTTCTTATACTTTTTCTTTTTGTTTTCCGTAGTCATTTAAACGCGACTGAATCAGGCATTGGTGTTAAATAATAATATTATATTTAATACTGAATTATTATAACGTATATAAGTTATCGTATATATATGTTAAAATTTTGGTTTACCTAACATAAATAATAACGATAAATAAACTAATATATTTATTATTTTCAAATAATATGATAACAAAACAAAAATAAATATAATAATAATAATAATAATAATAATAATAATAATAATAATAAATACATTAATATTAATATAATCATATTAAATAATTATATTTGGAAATATTTTTAAATAATGAAATAAAAAAATGGGATGGAAAATTTCTAGAAAAAAAAAAAAACACGCACATAAACATACTTATATTTATTTATATAAATACGCGTATGGGGGTTATCACATATCTTTTACGTATGTTGCCGTTAGAATAATTTTTGTTGCAATAAGGACATAGAAAACGGTAGGTATAGTTTATGGGACTAGCACCTTACCTACCTTGGACTAGCGACAAGAGAACTTGAAGAGTAATGCACCGTATACTAACTCCCATATACCTCCACCTTCTCCTCCACCCCCTCCTCCCTTCCCCCACATTTAGTCTCATACTTTCCAACCTTCGAGTTTGTAGCAAAGACCACTTATTCTCTTCAACGAGAATCGTGAGTTCGGGATGGTACTTGAGATTTACAAGTTTCGAACCACCCACTTTTCCTCGTTCCTTCTTCTCTCCAACTCCCCCTCCCCCTTTCTCCTCTCCTTCCCACCAATCCTCTCTCTTATTCCATAAAAGAAATAAAAGAAGAAACAGAGAAGAAGGAAGTATAAGAAGAAAGTAGAATATTTTTCTAATCATAAAATACAGAGTACAGAGTATGTTATTATTATTATTATTATTATTATTATTATTATTATTATTACTCTATTATTATTTAATTTTAGGTTAAACACGATCGTCATTAACTTAATCATACCGGAATAATAATTAAAATATTTTTCAATATTAAAATGAGATTTATTCCAGACAACTTTTTAAGCGTAGAAAATCTGACTTAAGTTAGTTAGTTAGTTAGACGTATTATATCATTATAGTTTCTGTATCGTTGTGACTGTACCACCCCTCACCCCTTTCCTCCTCTCTCAAGCCATCTTTAAGAGTTGACTACCAGCTAAGAATCCCATAAATCGCAATCATTCTCTCTAACACTGCGTAAAACTTGCCTCTCGTGTTTCCCTCTCGTCATTCCCCATACTCAACTATATATATATATATATATTCACGATGATAGAACATTCCAACGTTTTCAAATAAAATAACAACAAGCAAAAAAAAATAAATAATATTCAGACCAGTGTAATCTTATTATAATATATTATCAATATAATATTACTTACTAGTTCGATTATTTTCTCATTGTCAGATAATTCTTATCTAACTGTTCAACATTAGAAATCAATTCACAATGTTAACCGATTAAATATATATATATACATTACTATGGAAACATTCCAATGTGTTAGGATAATAAAAATAAGAACTAAGATCGACTATTAAGTATTTTTTAAAAGTATTATCAAATATTATTACCATCGCATTCGCTTTATTCACTTTCTATTTCTATTTCTCTTATACTCTTTACACATTTCTTATCGTATGATTAAACATTAGAAATATCAATTCGTAGTAATATATTCACTACGATAGACATTCCAACGTTAGGATAATAAAAATGAAAATATTAAACGAGCTGTTAGTATTCTTAAGTATTATCACTAATATTACCATCTCACTCTCTCTATTTTTGTTTTCATTCTCAGATATTTCTTATCGTTCGATTCAACGTTAGAAATCAATTCATAGTTCTGACTAATCTAATATATTCACTGTGATAGACATTAGTTTAGTAGAATTAATAAATTATTATTATTATCAATGATATCAATATATTTTTTTTATACCTCCTATATAATGCTATTTATTATTACACTTATATATCAGTATTCTATGATTTTTCTGTGTATGTGCATGTGTTTTTTTTGTTTTCATTCACGAGGCTAATAAATTTACACTCTACTATGATAAATATTTCTAATTGTAAATAAAAAAAAAGAAAATTATAATATCTTCTTTCCAAAATATTCTGAATTATATTCACACACATACATCCATAAATATTTATAAATTACTTTACTTTTCATTAAATTAAACATTAGATTTAATTTGAATAACTAACAAATCGAATTTTTAAATATCTGCCAAGAAATTCTTATTTTTCTAAAAAATTATTAATAAGGTCAACATATTTTTATCTTTAATATACTCGTGTTACTTATCATTCAACATCAGCACACATACACACACACACATACACTCAATTTATAATAAATTTCAAATATTAAATACATTTCAGACACTAATCTTACAACTTTATTGTTCAACATCAGCAAATTCATGAATCTAGGTTAACGTCGTCAACGTTTCTGAATAAATTTAAAAAAAAAAAAAGAAAAAAGATATAAAATATCATAAATCCCTGTTAGATCAATGTCAAACATTCGTCGTGTTACTAACTTACTTATTTTAACGTCATCATTTTTCTGAATGTATTTGAAAAAACGAAAGCAAAAATGAAAAAACTTCGTTTCTACTATACCATCATCATCATCATACCATCATACCATCATACACGGAATATTTGTAGTATGGTATTTGAGAATAGATAGTATAGTAAAAATAATACTACTTTTTTTTTTTCGAAAGGAGAAGATTCGTGCTGAACGTTTGCTATCTCGATGTGCCCTTTGCTTGCTTGCTTGCTTTCTTACTTGCTTGGCTACCTACGCTTCGAGACGACTCTCCCACGCGAGCCTAAGTCGCGTTTTACGGCTCTTAAGTACACACACACACATACATACACACACACACACACACACACACACACATACACGCACGCACGCACGCACCTAACATATACACACATATCTATATAAAATATATATTTAAACATATGTATTTATACCTATACACATTTATACTTAAATATATACATTTAAAGATTTACAAGGTAAAAACATACACATACATATATGTGTATAGACAAATACACGTATAGGTATAAAGTTATAGAAGTTAGAAAGAGACATATATATGATATAATACATGTGTTCATACATTCATACATACATACATATATATATATATATATATATATATATATATATATATATATATATATGCGTAAATATACAAATACATGTATAAAAGTTAGAAAGAGATATATATATATATATATATAGAAAGAGAGAAAGAGAGAGAGAGAGAGAGAGAAAAGGCGTTCTCAATATCATCGTATGTTCTTTTCTAACGGGCCAACGTTTTATCGCGACAGCACCGTTCCTTTTCCTCTAACTTATCTCGATTTCTCGCTTCCTGTTAAGCACCATGAGACACCTTCCTGAAATCCTTTTCCGTTTCAAAGCCTCTAGAACATTCTAACATTTAATTCGAGCTTCATTTGCACACGAGATTTCATACCTAACTATATATATATAGAATATCTAGGAAACAGAATCGAATTATCTTATCCACATTACAAATCTTAAAATATTATCCAATAGATTTGTTAATTGTTATTATCTATACACGTTAACGTAAAATTATAAAATCGTACCAATGTTTATATTCATTATCGGATTACCTAATCGTACAAACTACGTTCATTCTCATTCCAACAAAAACAAAGTAAAAATAATTATTCAAATATTATACAATCTAAAATTTAAATTATTTATATCTTTGATATCCCTGTTGTTGTTCTTACAAAAATTAAAAAAAATATATTAATGGCCATTACAATATGTAATAATTATAATTTATATAAAATCTAATCACACAGATACACATATTCCCGATTATTTTAATATTCATGGCAATAATTACTATAAATGTGGTTGATACTAACATACGATCCCTAACGTCAATCATAAATCATCATTTTCTCAAACAAAGTCTTGACAAGCCACATACAAACACATAATACGTACGTGTACGTTTATATGTATATATGTATGTGTGTTTCTAGGATAGAGTACACTGTTATAATTAACTGTCGGTCTATCTTAAAAAAAAAAAAGGAAAAACAAGAATTGGACTTTATTAGCATCTACACATACATTTCTGCCGAAGGCTCGTCGGTAAAACACGCTTCCTTTAACCCTGAAATAACTTCTATCTCTTTCTCTCTCTCTCTCTTTCTCTTTCTCTCATTTTTTTTCTCTTTCTTCTTCTCTCATTCTCTCGTGTTGATAAACCAACGAAGCAGGT